TTACATTGGGTAAATGCTATATGGAATTGGAAAACTTTTGTCATAAATTTTTGTTAGAATTTTATTTAGTTATTATTTTTTATATTTAATAAAAAATTAATATAAAAAATTATTAAATAAGTTTTATATAAAAAAGTTTAAGAATTTTTTTTTAAAATGTGGAAAAAAGTTTATTAATTGAAAATTAATATATCAAAAAATAAAATATTACTTTTTTATTATAATATTAAAGAATAAAAACATATAAATAATTTTGGAAAAAAAAGTTGACGAGAAATTTTTTCTAACCAAACACAACTTGAATGTGAAGAGGAGATTTCTTTTCTTTTTTTTTTTCTTTTTTTTTTTGTTTTTTCAATTTTTTACTGAGCACACAACCTTCTATTGTGGGGTGATGGTAATGGCCACGTTTATTTTGTTAAAATTATTAAAAATAATTAATAATTAATAAAATAATTACTTTTTATTTTTTAATTAATTGAAATTAATTTGTAAATAAATATTTTTAAATATCATAATTTATCACATTAAAAGTTAATATAAATTAATAAAATTAAATTAAAATCAATAATTTTAACAAAATCATTTGTGGCCAACTGGCCATAACGTCAGCCTATTACTTTTGGGAGAAACTTGTTTCAGTCGCTCCCGTGCCCGGGTGGGGTAGGAATTATGGACGATATCCAATAGACCTCGACGTGGACCCAAGCCCATTTTCCCCCATTAAAGGGCCAGTATGCTTGTAGATCTATGGGTCCAGAAAGCATAAAACATCGGTCCATATTTTCTATAGGGTCCATTTACTTATCCAATAAATATTTAAATCTTTCACTGAATAAAAGAAATTTATTATTTTTTAAAATAAAATCTTAAATTTAAGTTTTATAAATAAAAAAATAGATAATAAAAGAGATTTTCACTTATGAGATCCAATATGATTTAATTTAAATTAATTGAGATCTAATATAATTTCTAAAATAAAAAAATAGTAAAAACAAAATTTTAAATAGATGAGTAATGTCCGAAGTTCCAAACCAAAAGGGTTGGGCTTGCCTTGGCAAATATCCTTAGAATTTCATAATATAAGAGTTTAATATTTTACAATTTATTGTAACTATTGGATAGAGTGGCTTCTCTCTAGTGTAATGATTGATTTTTTATAATTCAATATAATTTGAATTGTAAAATACTTCTTTAATAATATAAAATTAATAATAGTAAATAAAGCTGGCATCCAAGGTAGAAACAAAACGGTTGGGCTTACCTTGGCAGTATTAAGAGTCGATATTTTGACCCCATGCATGCTAAGCAATTTATGTAATCTTAGCAGCTCCATTGAAGATTTAATTGGTTGATTTTAAAGTGTTTGAGAACAAAAAAAGAAAAAAATTATAAGATATGCAATTATGCAATGCGACCGAGACAGGTCGAGCAACTTAGGATGTCTAGGAATCTCTAGGGCGCAAATTAGTACCATTTCCAATTAAGTAGTAAGTATATATAATTTTTGTATAACTACTAAACATTAAAAATGCTATGGATAATAAGATTGAAGACACTCGAAAGGGCCAGAGGGAAGATCTATTAAGTTTTCAGCCTTTTTTTTGACTCTCATGAGCTTTCTGTGAACCCCAACTAAAACCCATTTGTTTGGGCCTTTTGGAAGGAAGCATCTCCATATTGACAATGGGCCTAGAGAGTTAGATTCATGACCCATACCCACCAACAAATGAAAGTCTTCATAGACCCATGCATAATGTTCATTGCTTTGCATTTGTTGATATGTTATGCATCTCATCCCAAGACTTGATCAATTTAAAAAACCCTACATGAAAGCTTAATTAAGTTCTTCATTACCATTGAGGCATTGAGACATGTCCAAGATAATTGTAAAATCAAATTGATGAAAAGAAAAAAAGAGGATATTTACATATCATTAATTATGGTGTCCCCTATGAATAAATATGATGCTTAATTAATTCCATCTTTAATTCGCATCAAGCACAAGTCAAAGCTAAATCGACTTTTCAGTATGATTTTCAATAGTAGATGGTGTACCTAATTTGATGAGAAAAAATAAATTAACATGTTATAGGTGTGCCCTACAATTCCAATGGCCAGTCCGCCTAGTCCTCCAAAAATTGAAGGTTTAATTATTCAGTTAAGGCCAGACATACATATCCCTAGATATATAGTTTAAGCGTATATAGATGAGAGGTTCTTTTTGGGTGGGGAGAAAGTTGAAGGGCAAAGTAAAACAAATTAGTAGTACTTGCATTTTGCTGATAAGAAAGGTAACTATACTTTCTTCTAGAAATTGAGTGTGAAATTAAAAGTTTGAACCTACACATTAGAAATTTAGAGTTTGAATACTTAGATTGTTTAAACTGGGTTAGTCTAGTAGTAAAAATAAACTTATCTCTTGTTGTATAACTTGTTATCAATATACTTGACTATCTAACCTAATGCATCTTTTCTCTCATCTCTCATGACCGTTGCACTCTCATTTTTTTTCTTCCTTTCCCTCAAGTTGTTGCAAATGACCTCTCTCCTCCATTGTAGCTAGGGAGGATGAAAAAAAGGTAGGAGTTTCTCATTCTCTTTGAAGGTTTCTCTTTTAAAGAGTCTATTTCTCTCTTTTGGGAGTCTCTCCCTAGAATTTCTCAATATTTTTATTGGCTTTTTTCATGGTAGAGGAGGAAACAATGCAATAGTAACTATTTTGCTCTGAAAGTGAAGCTGGCTTGTTCAGGAGACACTTCCAAGTGTTGGAGACGATCAAAATGGTTGTCTATCTACTTGATAACCTTGTTTGTGCCATTGTAGTAATTACTTCTATAATTTATTAATTTTAGGTAGTTTTTTGTTCTTAATTGCTTAGATTTGTATGCCTATTACCATATGATG